CATTCTCTCCATTCGGAAATAACCAGTAAACTGAAGAAAATAATGATTGTAGTCGCTTCCTTCCCAACTCGGCCAGTATCCTGATTTCCCATATTAAGTAAATTGAGGTATATACATATATTTATGAAAAGCTGATATTATACTTATTTTAACTTTTGTTTCTATCTGTAGAGCACCGCAACCAACCCGACTAAAGAGGTGGATAATTCTTGAATAATTTTTAATTAGAAATAATAAAAGTGGTTAAACTGAGTTATAATTATCTGTCAGTGAAAATAATAGACAGCTCACCTCCGTGGGATTTCCTTCCTAAACCATAAATTGTCCTGACAGCTCCAGATCTCAAGCCATAGGAGCACTCTGAAGTACAATTAAGGAGATGCCTGACCTTGAAGATGCTCAATGCAAGATACCCCTCAATCTCATGGATCCGGGTATACAAAGGTGGATCGTCTGCACAGGGAAATGCTAACAGGGTAGCAGGGATACATATGGAATTGTCATCTCCTACCACCTGAACAAAGCCATTTCAACGAATTTTAAGGTTAAACAGAAGGCTAAGTTAAGAGGGCAGCAGAATAAGGAGACGATTAGAAATATACCTGATATCCAAAAGAGTATTTTGTCTGATGCCCCACAGTACTTCAAATGGAAGTCCAGACTTTACTCTCTAGCAGAAGAAATTGAAAAATTTCGACTGTAGTACAAAAAAGTTGTACTCCAATGGATATGTGGGTCCTGCAGATTGCATGGGAATGAAACAGCCGATCAACTAGCTTAGGAAGGAGCTGCATCTCCTTAGGTAAACTACAGTCAGACTCTCCAGGAAGGTGAACAAATAAAGCGGCTGTACGCCAAAGGTGGAATGATGCCCATCCACATAATACTCCTGATGATGGTGATTACAGAATGAGCGGGAAAGACAACATTGTGTTCTTTAGACTCAGGAAAGGGTCCTAACAGGATGAGAGTGCATGTTTTTAAGAAATTTAAAGTAAGAAAAAGCCCTTTCTGTAGATGCATAACAAAGAAGAAGGATGCATGAATACGAAGAAAAAGAACTAGTTACAGATTAAAATGCAGATCCAGGAGCAAGAACAGAGGTTCAGAATTGAGTAAGGCGTGGTCCTATGCCTCAGCGTTAAAAGCGCAAAAGACAAATTCAGTAGGGAGCCTACTTGATAGTGAAATGTATTTAGGCAGATTTTTAATATTTTTACTTAAATATATCACTAATGGTGAGGAGGAAGTATCCAGTTTTACATAGTTATAATTTATCTTTTACACACCAAATGACTTTCCTAACCAGAACACTATAAGCCTAACCAAATCATGGGCACATCCATGAGACATTTGCAGCTCTTTCCCATTCTCCTTCTGAATTAAAAAAATAATAATAACATAGCAATAAATATAAAAAATAGAAATTTATAAAAAATTACAGCGACATATTGTTTGTTAAAATTTCGCTATTCTAAAAGAAAATAATTCCTTAAACTTTGAATTAATTTATTTTAATACTGACCAGACTTCAATTTAGTTTCAAATACTTGTGGCTAATGCGTTGTTTAGTTCGCTAACAATTGAGATAATATAAGCTTATTCTACCAAATTAACATCCATACATATCTGGTTTTAATATCTTCTTTTCATGCCATCGAACTAAAATCCTTTTTCAGCATTAGGTTTTCATTAATATCGAAACTGCAATACTGGTCTTCAAAAGTTTGATGGCTTCAATACTTTTTAATCAATTATCTTGTCATAAATATTATATTCGTTATGGGAAAATCGAGGTAAATTTAAACAATGATGTTCTGCAGGAGAATGGATGCTTATAAATCAACATGTATACATTATTTTAAATTTGTTAAAGAGATTAAATAAAAAATCGTATAACTCCTTTATTACACTTATGTTTCAATATACAACTATTAATCTTTTTTTGGGTATGGAACAGACGAAGACCCCATATTGAGGAAACATTTAAGTTTAATACTATGTGATATTAATTCAAGGGTAGGTTATGGACGTGGGGTAACTTTTTTCGGTGAAACTATGTCGAATAATATTAGACTCATATACGAGGGTTCTTTTCAATGCGTCCTAGGAGCCGAGAAAAAAAAATTTCATAAACATTTTATTATGTTACTGTCTTCAGACATTGCTCTGAATGAATTTATAAGTTATTATTATATCAATCGATTTGGTTTTTTTTGTGTGTAAAATAAGAAAAACATATTGCTTATGGAATGAAACGAATTCTTATATATTATAAATTACAAAAAACAATAGACACTTCCAGTAATGTAGGCCATTTAAATTTTTGTCATGAAAAAAATATTCAGATTCGTTTTTAGAGTTCACTGAAACTCTTAAATACGAGTTTGTTTTGAATATCATCATAAAATGACGTCCAAAAATTTAATTTTTTTTTTTATGTCATTTTATGAGGATTTTTTTTCATGCCGTTTACTAAAATATTCATAGCTCCTCAAGTTTTTCTGCGAAGTCGACGTTACTACAACCGTTGGAATACTAAATTATAACTCTTCAAAACTATATCGATAACTTTGATATTTCACGCTTTTTTAAGGAATAAATAAATAAAAACTTTCCAAAGTTTTTATTTTTTATCCCCCAGCCTAATTTATTTGCGGGATTCTGGTTTGTGCCATTTTGCGTATATTATAGAACCCCACGGGCGTATCTTCAGGCTGAAGCCTCTCCCCCAAAATGATAAAATATAACCATGTTTTATGAAAAAAATTACCTCTAAAAGTATTATTGTTCGTCTAACTACAGTTAATAGAACTTAAATAATCACTTAAAGACATATTCATATAGGTAGTTAGTTTCTTTCCGAAGTAATTATCCTAATATATTTATAAAAAAATAAAATCTTTCGGGCTGAAGCCTGGATTCCTTAGTGTAGGCCCCCAAATTCAATGTAACTTTGGTGTGGATAAGTAGAGCCATGTTGAAGTTATTACAACTTTTGTGATTTTCGAAAAAAATCGAAGGAAAATCGGAAATTTTGAGCAAAATTTTTTTATTATGAAAATTCGTATTTGAGTTTTTCGAGGTGCGAAATTTTTTTGAACTTTCAACGTTGTTTCATCTAAAAAAAAATATTTGAACCTACGTTACTCCTTAGGTCAGTACTATTTATTTCAATATTGAACACATACTAAAGCTGTATGTTAAATATATACATTTTTCTTAACTGGAGGGGGGAGAGGGTACTTTAGACCTGAAAATTCCATTTCAAGTCTTGCACAGTTCTTCTATATCATAGGATTTCCGAAAATCATTAGTATTTAAAAAGTGATATTAAATTGTGGAAAACATTTGTTTCAATCATCGGTTTATCACAAACAAGTACATTTTTGATGAAGCTGAACCTTTTAAGAACGTTGTTGTGAATTTCGAGCTTATTTTAAGTGCATTAAAATCACACAAACCCTTGTTATAAATTAAACATAATTGCAATATGCGTATGGTTTTCATTTCTCACTAAGGTAAAATTCTTCAAAGTTCTTAGTTAATTAATGTCACTTAGACTTTTTGCAATAAACCAACAATAGATTCTTATCCCTTGACAAATATTTTTAAGGGTTCACATATATAGCATATTAAATTAGCCAAATCTGATTTTTAGTATAATAGATTTATTTTACATTTAGATATTTTAATTTGGATCACATGTATTATCCAGTAACCCAACTTGGATGGATCACATTTCAGCCCAATCCCAAAGAACTCAATATTCTCATCTTTTACTTGCTCCTAATAGTTATATACAACTTTTTTACTTTTTATAAGTTGATTGTTCATATGAAATAATCATCATATTTACTCAATAATATAATGAAAAATTATAGTGTTTCTATACAAATTAAACTGTAAATGAAAATAACCATTTCTGCTAATTAGAAATGCACTGTAGAAGAATTTATTCCTACAAGCCTTCAATTAACTTGAAAACCCTTGTAAAAATAGAAACTGATTCACCCTAAAAAATGTTCATCAAACATTACCTTAGTTAAATTTTTATTATAATCCTCTGACTTCAGGTAAGTTTGTTTTAGACAGACAGCCCTTCATCCACTTTGTAAAATTAGTCATAGCCATTTGTCCAATAATCTAATGGCCATTAAGTCTTTTACATAAGATCATTTGATCAACTATGATATTATAATATATATTATTTAAATACTAGTAACATAAGACATGATAATTAAGGTAGAATTTGTCTTTTAAATGTGCAAGTGAGAGGGAAAATGTTTAGTCAAGAATAGCTGAGGTAAAATATTTTAATACCAACCACTCTTGATGCAGTTCAAGTGGTTTCCTTAAAAGAGAATCTCAAACTAATCCTTAAGATTTATGAAAAAAAGAATTGAATTATAAAACCTTTACCACTACAACCCATAGGTTTGTAAATATATGAATGTTTGTAAATATATGTAACCTACTAACAATTTCATCATTTTGAGAAACATTGGACACATGACTAGTATTGATTTTATTCATGATTAGTATTATAATTATACAAAGAGTACACGTCAAATTTTAAAAAAATGTAAAAAAATTTTCTAAATGTTATTGCCTACTTGAATGACAATTTATCGCACATGTTTCTCAAAATAATGTGTACATTTTTGTACTCAGATTTAGATATCATATCTTGACTAGATAGTAAAAAAAAAAAAAAAATATGTATAAGACTTTTTGTCTTCATCACATTTAATAACCTTGTATACCTTTTTTTAAACATCTATATAACCAAATTACTACTTAAGTCTCCTATTTGTGTAAAAATTAAACAATCAATTTTATTCAGACTATTTTCTTAGTTTCACCACTGTGTGGCTGACTATGTTATAAAAGAAAAAATAAGATTCAATCCACCAGTTGAGTTCGAAATTGTGCTCACTCTACCTCCTTCTCCTTTAATGAAGTAGCGGTCTAGTTTGGAAAATCCATAGTGAGGTTTAAAACGAAAACAATAGCTTTCATTATTTCGTAAAGGATGTAATGAAGTGGGTTAGTATCAAATAGAAACACATGTTAAAGAGGTTATCATATAATTTTTTTTTCTTTTCATTTACAAATTGAAAACTAATACGATATAGTAACTTTAAGCCAATCCCAAACGACATAAATTTAAGCTAAATAGAATATTAAGGAGGAGAAAAAAATTAAACATTTCCAATTTTTGGCCAAAAAAAAATATATATAAAATTATCAGTTAATAATATTACTTACCTTGCGATTACAAGAAAGCTTGTTTTTTTCTATAAAGCTAATAATAAAGAAGGTGGACTCAATCAAAAGATGTTACATAAGCCCATGAAATTTATTTCATAGAAAAAACCTTAAAATCTAAAAGAGGAAATTTATAAGAGGGAATATAGCAGGGTACAATTGATTACAATTCATATCTTCTTAGAAGGTATCATCACTAATACTACTTTAGTTTTATATTATATTAAAATTTATTAAAAAAAATAATTAAAATAAAAAAAAAATATCGAAAATAACAGATTGTATTCTTAAATGAAGTCAAGAAGTTTATCATTTTACTTTTTCTTCCCAAAACAACCAAAATCTTTAAGGGTCAGAGGAATTTTGATAAAGAAGAAAAAAAAAATAAGAGATGGAAATAAAACAAAAAAAAACATAAAATAGCGTGGTTATAGAAAACAAGAACTAAAAGAATCCCTAACCCTAAGCTAATAAAGAGTGAGAGAAACGCTAAACATTAGAAAAACAAAATAACTTGTGTATCTTTCTTACACCATTAATCTCTAGGCGTATATATCTTAAAAATCTTACAACATACAAGATTTATGCGTAGTTTTATTATTAGTTTGTTTCGATGTTTTTTTTTTTTGTTTTTTTTTTGTTTAAGTTAACACCTTGGGTAGTTAAAACTGGATAAAATTTTTTTGTTAGGAGAGTCTAACGATAAACGAGATATTAACTAGCCAAGCATGGAGCAGGCGCCCCGGGCCCCCCGAGTGCCTCTGAGCGGGGCCCCCCAAGCCGCCTCTAGAGCGGGGCTATCTCTCTTCCCTCACTCTCTCTCCCTTTCTACTTCTCTCTTGGTCAGGACCAACGACCCTAGCTGGGCCTCAGATTGTGCTCATCAACCATGACTCTTTATGCAGCTTTTCCACTTGCTATAAAAGCTTTCTATATGCTCGACGTTAATACCTGAAAAAGTAATATTAAAAAAAAAATGTATTAGTATTACTATAACTGTTGAATTATTTCAAAATAAATAAAATTATCCTCGACCACTACCATGCTTGTCAAGGTGGAATAATATTATAAGTGATTATGATAATCTCACACTACTAATCCACAAATATTTTATGTTTTTATATGTTTTTTAAATAAAATTTATTACATAATAGTGGTTAAATAGTTGACTGTCGTGAATAATGAGAAGAAGAATAGTTGAGGTGATCAGTCAAATAAGAAGGCAAAAATAAATGATGTTTATTTTGTCATTTGCCGACGTTTCGACCTGAAGTTATATAAGGTATGAGAAACATAAAAATTACAGTAAAATGAAGTTGTTAGAATAATGACAATAGTAAGAACAAGAGACAAATAATAATAACAGGTACAAAGTGTGGAATGATAAAGTAAACATAGTCAAAAAGGTGACATCAGTATTGTAAAGGGAATCTTAGAATAAAATGTAAAACAGAAAAATATGAAGTTATATAAGAAATGGAAATAAATAGTAAAATTAAGATATAGTGAATAGAATATTTAGATAGAAAATTGTGACGTGTAAAGTCTATCAATATGTATAATAAATATTATCATTTATTTTTGCCTTCTTATTTGACTGATCACCCCAACTATACTTCTTCTCAAAATTTATTACAATTAAAATGGTCATTCAGTCAGTGACAGTTAAATAATCTAAACTGAAGTAAATATATTTTAATTTTGACTAAATATATTGATTACTACTCATGACAGTAAATTCACAACGTATTAGTATAGAATATTGTTTGCTGATCAAATTTAAATTAAATTAACTCATTTTTCACTACAAGATAACCAAGAAACATAGAAACAAAAAATTTTAGCAAAAGATATAATAATTAAATTTTATGTAGGACTAAGTTACCAACCAGCAGATTTTGCAACTCCGATGTGGCTGAATCCTCCTTGACCATTGAGGTAAGTTTTAGATCCAGTCAAAAGAGTGACGAGCTCAGGGTTTTTCTCTCCAGTACTCTGGCTGCATACGTAGTTACAACATTCCACTATTTGGAGAAAAACCCTGAAGAAAACGACAATAAAAACATTAAAATCAAATAAAATTTATAGCATAGTTAATAATTAAATATATATCGTTTTCATACCAAGCTTCCTTGTCTTTCTTTTTCGGATATTTTATGAAGGGAACAGGGAGTGCTTCGTTTGACCGTTGCAATCTGACACTTCTGTGACCGATTCTCAGTTGATTTTCTAGCCAACGTATGGTGTCCCTAACTCTTCCCGAAGAACCCTTAAATTCATCTAAGCCAGAAACAACTGAAAAACATAATAAAATATAGCACACTGAACGGCAGAAATATGAAAAGGATCTTAAATAAATTGTTAAAATTACCTATTGATGGTATTAGAACAATAAACTTTTTGCTGCCAACGAGCTGTTTAAGCAGAGAAGGATGATTCAGAAAAACTTCAGTGTCTGGAACCAGATATGGCGGCAAATTAACTTTCTTAGCTTTATTTTCAAGCTGCGATACCTCGCTCTTCAGCCATAATTCACCCATCAGTTTGAGCCTTTCAGGTTGGGCTCGTGGCCTTTCTTCTTTTTGCTAAAAAATATTAAATACAGCTATTTTCAAAATTTATAGATGAAGGATCACTGATAATTCAAACTAAGATCTTATTAGATAATTTCTATTTTCTCTGAAAATCATATAGCATTGTATGTACTTAATTAAATACAGTGAAGAAGGTATTGAATGGTCAAAGTTGACACACAAAGAGTTAAATTTAAAATATTTGTGATTAGGAATATCCAAAAGCGTAAAGAAATATAACCTTCATTAAAGAATTAATTGTAGTACTTAATCATGATTGTGGACTAAAATCACATTTTTTACATAAGTAGAATAATTGTCTAAAGGAGATTTTTATAAATCTTGTTCTGTGTAATTGGCCGAAGAATAGACCAATATTCTATTCAGAATAGACAAACCCACTAGTTTGATTTTTTTTTTTTTTTTTTTTTTTTTGGATCAAAAGAATTCCTAATGTCCTTACAGCTGTAAGAATAGTTATGTTGGTAGTTAAGTTTTAACCGGGGCATGAAATGAAAAGTTAACTTGTTGTTGTCACTGTATAATTTGTCACTTTATCAGACTGTATAATTTGTAATTTACCTAGACATTTTTTTAATTATACCTGACTACAACTGCTCAATAAATGAAAAAAAAAAAGTTCAGGAAAAGTAGGGGAAAAAAAGAGTGAGTAAAGGAAGATGGAAGGCAGAAGTGAGAGTGAGTGAGAAAAGAGAGTGATAGGGAGAGAGAGAGAGTGAGGGGGGGGGGAGAAGAGGGAAGGGAGTTTACAAGTCCAATTACAGGGCAAACTCTGACCGCCCCCCTCCTTCCTCCCCCCCCTTCCCTGAGATCATTAATCAAGGGCTAAGTGAAACATTAGCTCCTCCAATTACTTAAGCCCCCTGCTCCACTCTATTACCATCCCGGCTCCTGGCTCCCTTGGTATTATACCAACATTCCCGGGTCTCCTACTATCGGAACAAAACGAGGTCTTCAGTATATTCGACGACAGGCCTATCTAAAAGGCAGGTGGAGTGTCCTATTGAAGGTGTGTCTGTAGTGTACTGTTAATGTTTATTTCGATTTCCATTCTTCTCTAAATCAATCACAAATATGATTGAGAGGGGGAGAACGTAAGTAAGAACACCGAAGTTTGCGATAACTTGTGTTCTTTCGTATCGATTTCTAAGTGCACTAATGACATAGTATCCTGCAAGTTTATGATTTGCGTATGCGAAGTAAAGGCCAATGTTTATTTTAACGTGGAAACAATATATTGTTTTTAACGTTCGAAGTACCGATTGACCATCCACGGAATGTTGCCCCATGGCCACTAGATACGTGAAGATTGGCCGATACTAAGCGAACGATTCGGCCAATTTTTAAGTTAGATGATTCAAATTACTCAATGAGATTTCAGCTTTAGATATTTTATATCGTCGTTAAGATATTAAAGTATTGTTAAATACGTGAAGATAGAAGCTTACCGGAGCAAAGCGGGCATAATGCGGAGCCATATTGAGAATTTTTTGTTCAACTTGTCTGACAAAAGGTAGGTGACATTGTTTAGACCAAACAGCTGAACCGATATTTATGTTTGATGGTCTAATTATTCGGTGAGACCCCATGAGTGGTTCAAAACACGGATAAATTATTACGAAAAGCTTGATTTAATCAATCCGCTAAAAGATATGTAACGACTTATTAAGTGAACGATTTGTAAGCAGGATGTTTCAAATTACTCAATGAGATTTCAGCTTAAGATATTTTATATCGTCGTTAAGATATTAAAGTATCGTTAAATTTTCGTTGATTCCATATCACATCATATGCAAGATCATTATCATATGTGTTGAATATAGATTGTCAATATTTAAAAAACTAAAAAGGTTGAAATAAAAAAAATATTTCAATTTAAAAAAACAAAAAACAACTACATAAATTCTAACCGGCATATCTACTGAAACATCTTGATAAATTGTTAGAGAAATTAACACCTACGAATATTTATTTATAGTATAGTAGTAAGGTGCCTTCCTACCCAGAAAGAAACCCGGCTCTTTCGGATGTTGACATGCGCCGATATATGGTAGGACGAAATCTACTTTCGAGGAGCCATAATGTCTAGTGAAAGATACTTCACTACTTCACCAAGTTTAAATTTACAACTTCATTGAATAATTAAATACAACCAGTAAATGTGAAAAAATCACGAATGATATGAACAGGCTTATCCAATGGCGGTACTTCTTAAATATTTTTAAGTAAGATGATCCGGAGGCTATCTTCTCTTCAGAGGCTTAGGAGGATTGTCGATATCTGCAGTTATCTTGTTATTTAAAGTGTTGTTGTTGATGTTTATATTTCTTATTATTAAATTACTACATTATTATTATATTTATGATTAATATATATATATATATATATTAATAAGAAACAGGAAAAAAAGAGGCAACACCAAATATATTTATATTTTCTATTGTACGAGGGTCTAATTTCATATAAAGATAGGATTATTTAATAATAAGAAGCAGTAACTTAATAATAAGAAATATAAATAAAAACAACACTTTAAATAACAAGATAACTGCAGATAAAAGTCCATAGAGCCCGCGTCGCTCACAAGTACCGAATTGTCAAGAATCGAAGAAGAAGCAAATGGGTTTAGATGGGACTGGAGTTAATTATGGAAGGGTAGATATTTTTCTCGGGTCAAATCAGCGTTTTTTTTAATCAACTTTTTTTGTTCTATAATGGAGTTCTTCAGATATTTTTAAAATCGAATTATTTATGTTCCCAACGTAATGAACGGTTCGAGACAATTATTATACACAAGAGTTTAACAATCAAATACTATTACAATAGATATGCAACAAAGTTAGTTCTTATATTTTAATGTGATATATTCTTTACATCGGCGAGAGGACATGGACATTATTTATCGGACTTTTTTTTTTTAATTTTATTAAATTTAATAACTCATAAAATATCGAGGTTTGAGAAACGAACAAATCGATATTTGTATTTTTTTTATCTTTCTAAATCCTTTAAAACGAACGCCCTCTTTTTTTTTCTTTTTTCTTAAAGACGAAGTAGAGATAAAAGGGTAGTAGGAGGCAGGGTGTAACCTGAAGGGAGCGCTAATACCCAACCATCGCAGGGAGGAAGCAAGGAGGGAATTTAAAGAGGAGCTAAGAACGGCTTAGGCGGGGAAGGATGTAATAATAAAGTAAGGTTAAGATGGGCGAGGGGTCTTTTCTATTCATAAAGGCATGATTTAGATTCTGGGCGCCCCCCGCCTCGGCAAAATATTGCTCCCGATCCCATCTCCTTCTCAATCCCTATTTCCTGAGGGGGAGGAGCGGTCGAACGGAAAATCCACCCTCTCCCGGCCTGATGGAATTGCTCAAGACATCCACTCCCACCCGCCAGTACCGTCCTCCCGCGGTTTACATATTCTAACCCCGCTCGGAATTAAACCGCGGACCCTCGCCGCAAACCATCCGCCTCCTCGATATCGGCTCGCTGCTCAGCATTTCAACTATATTTCACAGCTGATGTTTTAGACATATAATGCCATCAATATTTTACATTGCAGACAACAAATCAGAGTAATTGCTAGAGACTAATATTGCGGCGTAAGTGTTCCTATTCAACCTACACTGACTTCCATCACCAGAGAGGCAGAAACAGTCCTGCTTTAATGTACGTAATTACAATGTTCTTTCAGATCAATAAACGAAAAGCTTGGCTATATACACATATACACATTAATGAAGACAAGGATGGTTGGGGTGATCAGTCAGATAATTCTGAAAAAGCAAAATAAATGATACTATTTATTTTAACATTTGCCGACGTTTCGACCTGAAGTTCAGGTCTTCATCAGGGCTAAGAAAAGAACCAGAATAACAAGGTATGAGAAACATTAACAATGTAAGTAAAAAAATTAAAGTAAAATGAAGTGGGTAGAATAATGACAATAACAAAAACTAAGATATAGAATATTCTATTTAAAATATCTTAATTTTACTATTTATTTTTATTTCTTATATAGCTTCATATTCCTTTTTTCTTTTTTACATTTTATTCTAAGATTACCATTTTAGTACTTATGTCACCTTATTTTGATAATGTTTACTTCATTATTCTACACTTTGTAACGGTAATTATTATTTATTTCTTAGTTCTTGTTATTGTCATTATTCTACCCACTTCACTTTACTTTAATTTTTTTTTACCTTAATTATTTATGTTTTCTTATACCTCGTTATCTGGTTCTTTTCTTAGCCTGGTGAAGGCCTGAACTTTAGGTCGAAACGTCGGCAAACATTAAAATAAATATTATCATTTATTTTGCCTTTTTAATTCTGATTGATCACCCCAATCATCCTTATCTTCATTATTCACGACAGTCAACCCACAATTATATAAACATTAATGTAATATATACACGTATATATTTTCTTTTCAAAATAACCATTTGAAAGGTCCGTGTATTTGATGGTACATTTCATAAAAATGTAGATATGAAATGAAATGAAATAATTCTTATAATCAGGAGTTAGTTTATATGGATATAATTCAATAAATCACAATAATTTCAGCGTTAAAAATAGTGGTTTATTCAATTATATCCGTATGATCTACCTAACTGCCGATAGTAATGATAATTTAAAATTTTAGTATTGAAGGATATTAAAACAACTGTAATATATAAATATAAAGACCATGAAAGGTGTTTGGGATACTAACGAATCGGAGGAAGGAAGACTCAATTTATACAAGGGGTAGCAAACTCAGAAAGGGTAATAACAGACATTATTGTTGTTTTAATATAAGACACATAACGCACCTAATTATGTACCCTTGTATGTACACCATAATTTAAGATAGGTTAGATAAATTCCAATACAGAACAGCTCAAACGTTCTGGCATAATCACCATGGTAAACTGTGAACTCCTTCAAAGGACAGGAGGTGTGACTGATCCTCTAATAGGATGGAAGGAAGGAATCAATCCGCGAGGG